CTGTCTTAAACCTTGTAATGGAAATGCTTTCTCATTCTGGCATTGTAGCTTCTTGTAAGGGAAGCATGCCTGTTCTATTACCTAGATAAGGTGGGCAGTAGGGAGCAGAGGTGCACTTTTTATATGAATTGAGGACGCAAGAGGGCAGAGGTAGAAGGCTTCCTTTCCTCCTTCTCTAGGTCTACTCTGAATGCAGCTAAGGGGCCCTTAAGTGTTTTGCCTCCAGAAAAGGTTGCCATTAAATCAGGATCCACCTTACATTACTTACATATATCTCAATATTTTAAATACCTTCAACCACTGTACTTTCAAAATCCATTTATTTTAACTCTAGTCCATCCTGACTGTGTATAAAATTTCTTTTGAAAGATTTCCCTTCACGAAACTTCTACAACATTCCTTTGTATTCAGATTTTGTGCCAAGCCATTTGACTCCAAGTAACCAGTCTCATTGAGGACAAAATTACTTTCTTTTACTTTTAACAAAAATGTGTTTCCATTCCTTATATTTTTCTTACCTATCTACTTTTGTTAACACACACAGTTGCTTTTTATTTCCTTTGGTCTTAATTACATTTAACAGAATTTTAACTCTTAGAAATCTTAGTCTGCAGGGAAAACTAAGTAGTAACCCTCTGTGGACTGTCTATTACATCAGAATTCCCTAGATGGCAAACTTATGAATCAATTAAGCACAAAGCATGTTTTTGTTTAACAGATCCAGATACCCTTAGTTTCTCTGCAACAAATCAGAAGCATAGACCCATGTCTAGTAATAAGTGCTTTTGACTTTTATCTTGTTAGATATCCAATGAATTTAATCTCCATTAATGATGCAAGTAATCCTGTAACATTTTTGGTTACCACAGTCTTTGAAAGTTATTTTAACAATTACCCATGAACACTGTGAGAGAGACAAAATTAACCATTATTTAAGTTATTCTTTTGCTACCAAATTGGAACACAGATAACATGAGCATATTTGAGCTTCAGCAAATCTAGGCAGAATGAAAGTTTTGTCGTTGTTTTTTTTTTCCCCACCAGTGGAATTGGGCAGTCCATGTCAGTCCGGAGAAGACAGGGAATTTCCCTGAAACACAGTGACTTTCGGGAGCTACTCGGGAATATTTCTTAAAGTCCCCATTCTGAGGTAGGCTGACCAGAGACAGTTGGCTATAACAGTTGGTTTTGAGGGATGGGTCTCTCCCAATGTAGAGTATCTCAGGACAAACATGAAGGAAGAGGTCATTTTGTCTGCCTGGCCCCTCCCCTTGTGGGAATTTAGAGGCCTCTTAGCATGAGCAGGTCAGGAGAAACCCCTAACTTGGATCAGGCCTCTGCGGACCTGATTCTGCCTTGAGCCATAGGAGGTCTTCACAGAATCGCAGGGTAGGACTCACTCAGGCTCCATAGCTGAAACCATGGAGCACAAGCCCTCACATACACATTTAGACAGATTCCAGACTTCCACCCAGGACTTCCGTGTCCTATGTGGCAACGATGTCACCCACGAGGTGGTCAAGCTCCCCTTCCACCTGTGAGCGGGCCTGAATTCTGTCCTGGGTCCTCTGGGACATTTACCCAATCTGAAGTCCCATCCTGGCAGAATTTTCTGACTCCCCCTGGACTTGGTTCAGCGCAGTGGTGGCCAACTATTGTCGAGCCTCTGTCAGGGTCTAGTGAAATCACTGGCGGCGTGCTTTTCTTTCCATCACAGGAGCCTGAGATGAGTGGCCTCCCCACTGGCCTCCAGCAGTAGTGGTTCAAGGGGCCAGCATGGCTGTGGGCTTCCCAGTCAACGCACCAAAATGTTGCAGCAGACACTCGGCAGCCAGGGAGAGACAAGGAATACACACTCAGGGGATCCAGAAAGACTATCCTGCACTGGTCCCAGCCCAATGGAGACATCTCCAAAGGCTGAACCCTGAACCCTGGCTCTGGCCTTCTTTGAAGGGTGGGCTTGTAGGAGCTTAAGGGAAAAAAGGAGGGGCCACTTACTGATTGTCCTAAGTGGAAAGGTGACTGATGCAGGAGATAAGCAAGATTACAGAAGACAAAAGCATGCAAAGGGAGTATCTGGTCTTGGACATCTGGCTGGTCCCCTTTTTTATTTGCCCTTGCCAGGTTGCCTCCTCACTATGGGCTTCATCAACATAACTTTGCTATCACAAAAATCTCTTGCCTAGGAAATAAATGTTGAAAACAACTCTGTTGTCCATTCCAGGAATAACTGTAAGATCCATCAAGTCTTCAATAAAAAGTGCCAAATGACATTTTTCATCCATAAGGAATTAGAAACTTTGGACTTAATATACTCATCTTGCTGTGTCCACCAAACCTAAACCATTNACTCTTCCATAAAAAGTGCCAAATGACATTTTTCAACCGTAAGGAACTTGAAACTTTTGGCTTCATATTCTTGCCTTGCTGTGTCCACCAAACCTAAACCATTTCATCACTGTTTCCCCTCCATCTTAATCACAAGCAACGTGATTGAACCCAACGTCAAAAGAAATATTCCACACTGACTTCAAAATCTGAATAAATCCCTCTCCTGTCCTGCCACGTCCAAGACTCTCTAAGACCCTGTCCAGGTAGTGCTTTCCCTGACAGTGTTGTTCGATAAAGTCAGCTTTACTTATCAAGTTGTTTGACTGATAGTTGCAAAGCACAGTACCTGAAGAGCAAGGTCACCATTACTGAACATCATGTAACAGTGGATCAAGCTCAAATCCCAGGACGCATAAGGATAGAAACTTCTGAAACATGCACTGACGGAAGGACCACAGATACGTGGAGAAATATGTTACCTAACTTCAGATTTAAACGCGCAGCAACACAAGCAAAAAAGTAAAGAAAACCGTCGTTAATGTGCTTATTATACAGAGGAGAGCAAATTCACTCAAGTACGACAGAAAATCCAGAAGCATGGAAGGGAATGATTGCTCAAAGCGTGTATAAAAAAATAGTGTTCAAGTACTTAGTATCTATTATTGTTCTTTTCGAGACACATTCAGCACTAACAGTGACTACAAACTGTCCCCAAAGTATCTGGATGCAAAAGAGAGCTCGGGTGGGAGGAAAGAGATCACTCTTGTAGCACCATTTCAGCTACTCTGTGGACCCTGCCTTCCCACGCCTTGGCATCAGACATGGGAAAAAGTCCACGAACATTGCAAACACCCACATCAGAACGCATACACTTTGTACCGTGGCCTTTGCTGCGCAAGCCTATTGTTAGCAAAGACTGTTGCTGAGCATGCGCCCTGCTGTCCCCGCATCCTGTGAGCAGAGCTGAGGAAGAAGGCGTAGTGTTGCTGGTGTCCCGATCATTCTCGCTGCCTGAGCACAACTGGTAGGTCCAGAAATCCATCCTTCCGGGCCTGGAAGTGTGAGTGACTCTGAGGATCGTGGCAGTGGGGCTCGGGGGTTCGGAGCCGTAGGTGTGTGGCCTCCGCGGTGGAAGGTGCTAGGAGATAGCGTTCTTCCCCCAGGCGTCGTGGCCGCCGTGGCCCTGGTCCTCGAGGTAGGACGGGGACGAGTGGGGATGGCGGGGGAGGAGGACGAAGGTGATGCAGACAGGGAGGGTGCTGGGGGCGTCCTTCGAGGTATGTGAGTCCTGGAGACACCCGGACGTGCCGGCAGAGCACTGAAGCCAGAGTCCTCAGGGGGACCCTGGGTGCGAGGCGGGCCAGGCAGTAGAGAACAGGTGTGGAAGGGGCGCCTGGGTGGGCCAGTTGGAAAGGGCCGACGCGCGGTCTCAGCGCAGGTCTGATCTCGGGGTGGTGAGTTCAAGCCCCGCCTGGCCTCCGGGATGGGCGTGACGTCTACTTTAAAAAGGGGGGGTGGGCTGGAAACGGGGACCTCAGCGGGGTTGGAACTGTGTCCCCGAGATTTGTATCGCACTGTGCCTGGTGTCAAGGGAGGAGCTGCCCAGGGGTCAGTTATGAAACTAGACACGTGAGCCATAATTTTGGGAAGGAAGCCACTGGCAGTGTGCAAATATGAAGACCTTCTCTGCGTCCCAACCAAACCTTTTTTAAGGGGGTAAAATGGGCCCAGCAAATGGGAATGTGCAAAGCAATAGTGCCTCGGGTTGAAATTTCCAGCACTGTTTTCTCACATGCCTCTATGACGGGGAATCTAGCTGTGGAAGTAAACCTCATGTTTGATTCTGTCCTCAAGGTGATTTGATTGCCAGTTTGGCTGATGTAAATGTTCTTTTACATTGATTTGGGCATTTATTTGGTGCAACCTCAGCATGTACAGTATCCTTATTTTAAGGTTGATTTTTAAAGTATTTTCTAAGTAAAAACAAATGAATACGTTTCTCCTTGGAAGTTGTATACCTAGCGTTGAGAGTACATTTTCCAAATACTGATATCCTACTTTCAGGGTGAAACATGAGTGGACAAGTGACAGCAAGGTATAAATCTAAAGAAATAAAGGGTAATCAAGAGGCTAACCAGCCGTCTGCACCTGTGGCTGTGATTACTTCTGTATTTGATGTTTTCTATACCATCAGTGTATTTTTCTGAAACTGTTGTTGAACTACAAACATACAGGTACAGTGAGCAGGAAACCTTGAACCAGAAGGTGTCCGTCCTCCTGTTGCCTGTGGAAATGTCCCCTATGACTCCTTTGTTATGCTTTTTAACAACAGGTTGTACATATCCGTCCCAGCACAGTGTAAAATAGCCTCCAAAGTGCTTGTGGGTGCCTCTTCTGGAGTAGCCAGGCTGCGGGAAGAGTAACTTTTTTAAAAATTTAAATGTTACTTAGCATACAGTGCAATATTGGTGTCAGGAGTAGACTCCATTGATTTATAACTTTCATACAACACCCAGTGCTCATCAGCAGTGGCGTCTTTCTCGCCCATCACCCATCTGTTTATGCCATCCTGCACCCACCTACCTCCATCAGCCCTCACTTTGTTCTCTACAGTTAAGAGTCTCTTGTGATTTGTTTCCCTCTCTCCTCTTATGTTTCCTTGTCTCTTCTTGTGTTCTTCTGTTTTATTCTTCAATTCCACAGATGAGTGAAATCATATGGTGATTGTTCTTCTCTCATTGACTTCTTTCACTCAGCAGAATACATTCTAAGCCCTTTCCACATCTTTGCAAATGGCAAGATTTTATTCTTTTTCATGACTGAGTAATATTCCATTATATGTATACACAGCCATATTCATTTTAGGAATACATATATAGAATCATGTATTATAAGTGCTTTTATACTCATTATTTGATGTAAAATGTGTAGTGTATGTTTATATTGTTGGCATGTATTAACAATGCAATTTTTATTTGGACACACACACACACTAGGTCCAGCAGCCGAGTGATGAGCAACCTCAACAAAAGGAGGCACCCCCTGAGAGTCAGGATATTATTCCTGATAAAGAGAAAGCAGTTGCAGAAGCACCTATGGATCACNCACACACACACACACATGCATACTCTCTCTCTCTCCCTAGGTCCAGCAGCCGAGTGATGAGCAACGTGAAGAAAAGGAGGCACCCCCTGAGCGTCAGGATATTATTTCTGATAAAGACAAAGCAGTTGCAGAAGCACCTATGGATCACGGTGAAGGTAAAGGAGAGAAGAATGCTTACTGGGGGCACAGGGTATATTTTTGCATCACGCGTTATGTCATAACAGGACGAGAGAAAACATTAGGAGAGAATCTTAGTCATTTCCTGAAAACTCCTTGAAAATGTGAATAGAGTATAGTTTGCAGCTCTGTTCGCTCTAGTGAATTTCCCCTCGTTCTTCCAATGCAGTCCTTCCTAAATTGGAGGAAACTGTTGACTACTAACGTATACATTTCTTCAGTAGTTTAATGTGTTCTTCTCAGGACCTTTTTGTGTAGCTTTTTTCTTCAGTGCGTCAAAAGTGTAAGCAGTTGTTAATAGTATGTGCACAGGGCCAAGTCAGCATATCTTATCACATCTGGAATAAAGATGATTTGCATAGGGATGGTAGCCTTGTTGCATACATAAGAAAACCTAGGCTCAGGGATTGTGGCTTGCTGAAGACTGCTTGTCACATGGAGACATAATTAAGTTTCATTTCACGTTTGTTCTTCTTTTCACTTCCTACATCTGTGTTTTTATACCAAAATGTGAATGGTTTGTACAGAATGTGTAATACTAAAATGTGTACTGTAAAATTAGCTAAGTACAGCCACAGGATAAATGAAGTTCAGTGGAGCAGGAGATAGATTCCAGAAAAGGGCTCCAGGAAGGACGGCCACAGTTATCTTTGGTTAACTATTGCATATGGTACATTTGGGAAAAGCTGGCTCATTCGGGAAACTAGGATATAGGTAAAGTATATTAGTGTGAGTTTTAAGTGGCTTTAGGAGGTGTTTAGGTACGTTTATGATTAGGCAACTCAAACGTATCTGAAAATAATTATGAAACAGGAATAAATAGCTTCCAATATAGTATTTTCATCAAATACTTGTAGTGAATTATGGACCTCCTTCGGGCCAAGGATTACTTTAGGAATTCTCTGGTAAGAGGTTTCTACAGCAGGACTGACAACAAAGTCCGTTAATTCCTTCCCACCCGACTCCCTTTATTGTCGCTGTAAGACGGAAGTTTGACTCAAAGTCACTATGTTCTGCTGTTATTTTTGATACTTGGTTCTCTACAGGACTCATTTATCATGTTATATAGAGAGACTTTGCCCCTGAAATAACTATTTAAATTTTGCAAAATAACGTTCAGGTTGCCCTATTCAATAGGGGATGGATGTCACTAGTATAGGATTTGTCCTAGGCCCACCAATGCACTCAGCTAATGGTTCAGGAAATTAAATGTTAGTTTTTGTTACAATCCTATCCATGGTTCAGGCCACCTGGGTGGCTCACTTGGTTAAGCATCAGACTTGGTTAAGCATCAGGAAACTCAGGTCATGATATCGTGGTTCGTGAGATTGAGCCCCGCGTTGTGATACTCTCTGTCTCCCTCTGTCCGCCCCTCTCCTGCCCGTTCTCTGTCTCTCTAAATTAAAAACAAAAACAAAAAACTTTTAGAAATCCTGTCCGGGGTGTAAATGTAAGCTTTCTTTCCTGATGCTCTCTACTCTTAGTACACCGTGGTAATATAATGCAATTGTAGGCTTAGTGTGGTTTCTTTTTAGATTGTTATTTGAAATAAGGTTTCATAATACAGAAAAACAAAATGTGAAGTGCATCTTTTCATCCCTTTTTCAATTACATGAAGTCTACAGCTTGTATTTCATATAATGGAAAGAATAAATATTATTACTTCTTTCTTTAGTTTATGTTTACTCCAGAATTGATGACCTTTGTTTTTTCAGGGCCTGGCCTGGAAGCTGGTATCCAGAAACTGCATCTGAACGAAACTGAGGGGATACGTGAAGACGACACTGATTTAAAGGGGGCGAATTTTGCATCTGGGAAGCCTGTTAAAATGCCTGAGGCAGGTGTGTTATCTATCTGGAATGCGAAGTATGCAGTTCTTTTTCTGAATATTATATCTTTCATTATGTAGATGTAACTTATACTTTCTGAACAGAGTTTACACAGAAAGGTACTTTCATAACTAGGTCAGACCCTAACTTCCTGACTGCCTGGTTTATACCCTATCAGTTATAGAATTAAATTGGGTCAAAACCTTATTAAATTATAAACTAAGAAAACATTTCTTTTTTTATAAACGGTAAATGCTGGGACACTTGAGTGGCTCAGTCAGTGAAGCAGGTGACTCTTAATTTGGCACAGGACATGATCTCACAATTCGTGGGATCAAGCCCGGTGTAGGACTCTGAATGGCAATACAGAATCTGCTTGTGATTGTCTCTCTCTCTCTCTTCTCCTCCACGGCTTGCTCACTATTTCTCTCTCTCACTCTAAAAAAAAAATTAACTTTAAAGAAAACACTCTCCATGGTGTAAATTTCAGCTATCTTAGCTGATGCTCTCTAATCTTTGTACAGAGTGGTCATATAATGCAAAAGTAAATTTTGTGTGGTTTCTCTTCACATTGTTATTTGTTTTTTTAATAGTTTATTGTCAAGTCTGATTCCATATAACACCCAGTGCTCATCCCCACAAGTGCCCTCCTCCATGCCCATCACCCCCCTTCCTCTCTCCTCCCCCCGCCACCAGCCCTCCGTTTGTACTCGACATTCAAGAGCCTCTCATGGTTTGCCTCCCTCCGTCTCCCCAACAATTTTCCCCTTCTTCTCCCCCATGGTCTTCCGTTAAGTTCCTCCTAATCCTCCTATACGTGCAAACGTAGGGTATCTGTCCTTCTCTGCCTGATTTATTTCGCTCAGCATAATACCCTCAACGTCCATCCATGTTGCTACACATGGCCAGATTTCATTCTTTCTCATTGCCATGTAGTATTCCATTGTAGAGATAAACCACATCTTCGTCATCCCTTCGTCAGCTGATGGACACTTAGGCTCTTTCCATGATTTGCCTATTGTTTGAGAGTGCTGCTATGAACATTGGGGTCCATGTGGCCCTATGCTTCAGCACTCCTGGATCCCTTGGGTAAATTCCTAGCAGTGGTATTGCTGGGTCATAGGGGAGTTCTAGTGTTAATGTTTTGAGGAACCTCCATACTGTTTTCTAGAGGGGCTTCACCAGTTTACATTCCCACCAACAGTGTAGAAGGGTGCCCATTTCTCCACAACCTCAGCAGCATCTATAGTCTCCTGATTTGTTCCTTTTAGCCACTCAGACCTGCATGAGGTGATATCTCAGTGTGGTTTTGTTTGTATTTCCCTGATGATGAGGGACACTGAGCATCGTTTCATGTGTCTCTTGGCCATCTGGATGTCCTCTTTGGAGAAGTGTATGTCCATATCCACTGCCCGTTTCGTCACTGGATTATTTGTGTTTTGGGTGTGGAGAGTGTTGAGTTCATTACAGATATTGGATACTAGCCCGATATGGCATTTACAACTATCTTTTCCTATTCCGTCAGTTGCCTATTTGTTTTATTGATTTTTACCTTTGCTATGCAGAAGCTTATTATCTATTTTTTTAAATTTTTTTTTTTTATTTCGGAGAGAGAGAGACAGCGTGAGCAGGGGAGGGTCAGAGAGAGAGGGAGACACAGAATCTGAAGACAGGCTCCAGGCTCTGAGCTAGCTGTCAGCACAGAGCCCGACGCGGGGCTCGAAGCCACAAACCGTGAGATCACGACCTGAGCTGAAGTCGGAGCCCTAACCGATTGAGCCACCCAGGCACCCCTCAGAACCTTTTTATCTTGATGAGGTCCCAAGAGCTCATTTTTGCTCTTGGTTCACTTGCCTTTGGGCTTGTGTCAAGAAAGAAACTGATGCGGTTGAGGTCAAGGACGTTGTTTCCTGCTTTCTCCTCCGGGGTCTTGATGGTTTCCTGTCTCACGTTCAGGTCCTTTATCCATTTTGAGTTTATTTTTGGGTATGGTGTGAGAAAATGATCTCGTTTCATTCTTCTGCACGTTGCTGCCCAGTTCTCCCAGCACCATCTGTTGAAGAGGCTGTCTTTTTTCCGTTGGATACTCTTTCCTGCTTTGTCAAAGATCCGTTGACCACATATTTGTGGGTCCGATTCTCAGTTCTCTATTCCATGGGTCTATGTGTCTGTTTTTGTGCCAGTGCCATACTGTCTTGATGATGACAGCTTTATAGTAGAGGCTAAAGTCTGGGATGGTGATGCCTCCCATTTTGGTTTTCTTCTTCAATATTACTTGGACTATTCGGGGTCTTTTGTGGTTCCATACAAAATTTAGGATAGTTTCTTCTCGCCTTTGGAAGAATGCCGGTGCCACTTTGATTGGGATTGCAATGAATGTGTAGATTACTTTGGGTAGCAATGACTTTTTTTTTTTTTTTTTTTACAAATAGTTTATTGTCAAATTAGTTTCCACATAACACTGAGTGCTCATCCCCACAAGTGTCCTCCTCCATGCCCATCCCCCCTCCCCCCCCACATCCATCAGTCACCAGTTTTTGTCAGCATTCAAGAGTCTCTCATGGTTTGCCTCTCTCTCTTTCCCCCACCATTTCCCCCCTTCTTCTCCCCCTTGTTCCTCCGTCAAGTTCCTCCTAATCCTCCTATACGTGCAAACATATGGTATCTGTCCTTCTCTGCCTGACTTATTTCGCTCAGCATAACACCCTCAAGGTCCATCCATGTTGCTACACATGGCCAGATTTCGTTGTTTCTCATTGCCGGGTCGTATTCCATTTTAACTACGTTGATTCATCTGACCCATGAGCATGGGATGTTTTTTCATTCTCTTTGTGTCTTCTTCAATTTCCTTCATAAGTTTTCTATAGTTTTCATCATACAGATCTCTTATTTTTAGTGAGGTTTATACCTTTGTATTTTATGGTTTTTTGTGCAATTGTGAATGGGATCAGTTTCTTGATTCCTATTTGTGTTGCTTCATTATTGGTGTTTAAAGATGCAACTGATTTCTGGGCGTTCATTTCGTACCCTTCACCTTTCCTGAATTCGTAGATGCATTCTAGTAGGCTTCTGGTGGAGTCTGTTGGGTTTTCCGTGTAGGGTATCATGTCGATTGAGAAAAGTGAAAGTTTGACATCTCCTTTAACAATTCTGATGCCTTTGATTCCTTTTCTTGTCTGATTGCTGATACTAGGACTTCCAGCACTCTGTGAAACAACTGTGGTGAGAGTGCACATACCCGTCATGGTCCTGACCTCAGGGGGAAAGCTCTCCGTTTTTCCCCATAGAGGATGATGTTAGCTGAGGGCTTCTCATAGATGGCTTTTATGATGTTTAAGGAAGTTCCTTCTATCCCAACTTTCTCGAGGGTCATTTTTAAGAAGGGATGCTGTGTCTTGTCAAATGCTTTTTCTGCATCTGTACAGGATCATATGTTTTTTATCTTTTCTTTCGTTAATGTCATGGATCACATCGATTGATTTGTGAATATGGAACCAGCCCTGTAACCCAGGAATGAATCCCACTTGATGATGGTGGATAAATCTTTTTACGGGCTGTGGGATTCGAATTGCAAGTACCCGGTTGAGGTTTTTTGCATCCGTATTCACCAACGATATTGTCCTTTAGTTCTCTTTTCTTGCCAGATCTCTGTCTGCCTTGGGAATCCAAGTGATGCTGGCTTTGTCAGATAAGTCCAGAAGTTGTCCTTCGATTTCTATTTTTTGGAACAGCTTGAGAAGAATGGGTATTAATTCTGTTATAAACGTCTGGTAGAATTCCCCAGGGAAGCCATCTGGCCCAGGGCTCTTACTTGTTGGGGGATTTTTGATAACTGATGCCATTTCATCACTAGCTATGGGTCTGTTCAGGTTTTCTATCTCTTCCCATGTGAATTTTGGTAGTGAGTGTGTGTTTAGGAATTTGGCCATTTCTTCTAAGTTGTCCAAGTAGTTGGCATATAATTACTCATAGTATTCCTTGATTATTGCTTGTGTTTCTGAGGGGTTGTTTATAAGAAGTCCATTTTCGGGGCGCCTGGGTGGCTTAGTCGGTTAAGCGTCCGACTTTCGCTTAGGTCATGAACTCGCGGTTCGTGGGTTCGAGCCCCGCGTCGGGTTCTGTGCTGACTACCAGCTCAGAGCCTGGAGCCTCTTTCAGTCTGTGACTCCCTCTCTCTCTGACCCTCCCCTGCTCACGCTGTCTCTCTCTCTCTCTTAGACATAAATAAAAAATATTAAAAAAAAAATGTCCATTTTCATTCGTGCTTCTTTTCCTTTGAGTGCTCTCTCTTTTCTTTCTGAGACGCCTGGCTAGAGGTTTGTCAATTTTGTTTATTTTATCAAAGTACCAACTCTTGGTTTCATTGATCTGTTCCACTGTTTTTTTGGTTTCCATCTTGTTTATTTCTGCCCTGATTTTGATTATTTCCCTTCTCCTACTGGGTTTGGGGTGCTCCTGTTGCTCTCCCTCTAGTTCCTTTAGGTGAGGTGTTAGATTCTGTACTTGCGCTTTTTCGAATTTCTTGAAATGGTCCTGCAGGGCAATGTACTTTGCTCTTAGGACTGCCTTTGCCTCATCCCATGGAGTTTGGATTGTTGTTTTTTCATTTACATTTGTTTCCATATATTTTGTAATTTCTCCTCTAATTGGCTGATTGGCCCATTCGTTCTTTAGTAGGGTGTTCTTTCACCTCCATGTGTTTGGAGGATTTCCAGACTTCTTCCTGTGGTTGACTTCAAGTTTCATAGCATTGGGATCTGAAAGTGTGCATGGTATGACCTCAATTCTTTTCTATTTACGAAGGGCTGCTTTATGTCCCAGTATTGGTCTATGTTGGAGTTTGTGCCATGCGCATTTGAGAAGGAGGTGTATTCCATGGCCTCAGGATGTAGAGTTCTAAATATATCTGTCAAATCCCTCTGGTTCAATGTGTCATTCAAGTCCATTGTTTCTTTAATGATTTTCTGTCTAGTTGTCTATCCAGTGCTGTAAGTGGAGTATTAAAGTCCCCTGCTATTAGCACATTCTATCCATAAGGTTCTTTCTGTTCCTGATTCGTTCTTTTATGTACTTGGGTGCTCCCGTATTCGGTGCATAGACATTTAGAATTGTCAGCTCTTCCTGATGGATAGACCCTGTAATTATTATATAATGCCCTTCTTCATCTCTTCTTACTGCCTTTACTTTAAAGTTCAGTTTGTCCGGTATGAGTATACCTACTCCAGTTTTCCTTTGACTTCCAGTGGCATGATAGGTATTTCTCTATCCCCTTACTTTCAATCTGAACATGTCCTCATGTCTACATTGAGTTTCTTGTAGACAGGAAATAGATGGATTTTGTTTTTTTATTCAGTCTGCTACCCTATATCTTTTCATTGGAGCATTTAGTCCTTTAACATTCAGTGTTATTGAAAAATATGGTTTGAGCGTCATCGTGTTCTTTGTAGGATTCATGCTTGTGGTGGTGTCTCTGGTACCTTGTGTTTCTTGCAACATTTTGCTCATAGAGTCCCCCTCAGGATTTCTTGTAGGGCTGGCTTAATGGTGACGAATTCTTTCAATTTTTGTTTCTTTGGGAAGACTTTTATCTCTCCTATTCTGAATGACAGGCTTGCTGGATAGAGGATTCTTGGCTGCACATTTTTTCGGGTCATCACATTGAAGATTTCCTGCCATTCCTTTCTGTCCTGCCAAGTTTCAGTAGATAGGTCTGTCACCACTCTGATGGGTTTCCCTTTGTATGTTAGGACCCTTTTCTCCCTAGCTGCTTTCAGAATTCCCTCTTTTCCCTTATAGTTTGCCATTTTCACTATGTTATTTCGTACACCAGATTGATTCAAGATACAGCTGAGGGGAGTTTTCTGTGCCTCTTGGATTTCATTGTCTGTTTCCTTCCCCAGATTGGGAAGTTCTCAGCTATAATTTGTTCAAGGACTCCTTCAGCACCTTTCCCTCTCTCTTCCTCTTCTGGAATTCCTATGATTCGGATATTGTTCCATTCGATTGTATTGCTCAGCTCTCGAACTCTCCTTTCTTGCTCCTGGATCAGTTTATCTCTCTTCTCCTCGGCTTCCGCTTTTTCTTTAATTGTGTCTCCTAATACACTTATTCTCCCCTCCGCCTCTTCCATCTGTTCATTGGATGCCTCCATTTTATTACGCATCTCATTGATAACATTTTTTTAATTCATCACAACTACATTTAAAGTCCATCGTTTTTGTTGCAATAGCTTCTCTTATGTCTTCCATGCCTTTTTCAAGCCCGTCTTTTAATTTTATGGCTCTTGTTCTAAATTCTTTTTCAGATATGTTGCTTATGTCCATTTAGAGAAGTTCTTTAGCTATCAGTTCTTCCTGGAATTTCTTCGGAGGAGAGTTCTTCCGTTTCATCATTTCAGTTAGCTTTCTATCTCTTGTTAGTTTTAAAGGTTTGTTCTGCAGTCTGCACCTGCGAGTACTGTTGTATTAAAAGGCTCTTTGACTGTCCAGGGCTTGTCCATTCAGGAAGTGTTCTTTGAATGGTGCCTCTTGGTTTTTCTTGTGGAGACCTTGGTTACTTTATTTCCCTACTTGTACTTATATTTGGGGCCCTCCACCATGTGTACTTTGGCTTGTTTCTTGAGGTATCCTGAAAAGGAAACAGACAGACAAACACACAGGGAACCAAGGCACACAAACACACAGACAAATCCAACAAACATGCAAACCGAAAGGGAAAAAGAAAACGGAAAAAAGGAAGGCATGAAAAACGAGAAAGGAGGAAAGACAAATAATAAAAATAAAAATAAATTAGAAGAAAAGAAAAGAAAAAAGAAAAAACCCAAAGGATAAAGCACAGTCTGAAAGCATAAAACCAGAATTCCCAGCTCGAAAGAGCCGGGGGTATGCAGTGCTGATGGAAGAGCATATGCAAAGAGAGAAATGACAGGGCAGGGAGGAAGCGACATTGGAAATGAAATGACCAGGCAGAGAGACTACGGCTTCCATCAGAGAGAGAAAATTTACGGAGCTCCCTACTTCTCCACCATCTTGCCTCCCTCCCTAGATTGTTATTTCATATAAGGTTTCATAATACAGAAAAACAAGATGTCAAGCCCAACTTTCCATAACTTTTTTAATGACATGAAGTCTACGGGCTTGTATTTCATGTAATGGAAACAATAAATGTTACATCTCATTCCTTAGATTTTATGTTCACTTTTTCAGTGATAACCTTTGCTTTGAAGGACCTGACCTGGAATCTGGTATCCAGAAATTGCCCCTTCCAAAGAATAAGGATATTAGTGAAGATGACACAGATGCGAAGGGGGCAGATTTCCCAACTGTGGAGCCCGTGAAAATGCCTGAAGCAGGTATATGATCTATTAGGAATGCGAGGTATGCAGATCCTTTCCTGAATATTATAGTCTTCATAATTTAGATGTAACTTTACCGGTAGATACTTTAATAACAGACATTACACAGAAAGGTACTTTCACAAGTAGTTCAGACCCTAACTTCCTGACTGCCTGACTCACCCTATGAGATATAGAATTAAATTGGGCCAAAGCCTTATTAAATTATAAAATAGGAAAGCACTGGTTTTTAATAAAGTGTAAATACTGGGGCGCCTGGGTGGCTCAGTCTGTGAAGTATGTGACCCTTGATTTGGCTCAGGTCATGATCTCACAGTTTGTGAGTTCCAGCCCCATATTCGACTCTGCGCTGACAGCATGAGTCCTGCTAGGAACTCTGTCTCTTCCTCTCTCTCTGTCCCTCTCCGATTTGTGCTCGCTCTCGCTCTCTCTATGTGTCTCTCTCTCAAAATATGTAAATAATCTTTTATATAGAATAATCTGTAAATACTTTAACCTATAGCTGATTAAATTCAGAATCTTCTATAATTTCCTCTTTTCAGAAACACAGAATGCATTTGCTGTAAATACCAGTTGTATGCAATATGCTGAGGTACTGGAGTAGCATCCAATACCAGCTCTGACATAAGTTGTGTGACTCTGGGAGAATCCCTCCGCTTCTGAACCCATCTTGATGCTTATATTTAGTGATTTCAAATCGGATATAGTGCATTCATTTTATGCTGTTTGTGGTGTTCTCTGGTTCTGTTGGATAACATACATGGAATCCAAAAATCATCCATTTTGTTTGATTTACTTATCATCAGATAGCATCTTTGATCAAATTTTAACATCTGAATTGAGATTTCCGTGCCGTTGAGAACGAGAAAACATACTGTTTGATGTGGGTTTTTCTCTATGGAGATCCGGATACCTGTTCTTAAATTTGTCAAATTCTAAATCATTGTGGCTCTTACAAAACACGTGCAGTTTGAAACCTTTCCCCCATGAAGGCTCAAATGACTGAGTAATAAAATGGCAAGAGATGGTTTAGTTTCTAGTTTCTGTGGCACATCAAGTAGGGAGAGTGCATGGGTGTTCTATGTACGTGATGAATCCGTAAATTCGACTCCTAAAATCAGTACTACTGGTTACAGCTTCAGTAACTGGAAACTAAGTTTAAAAATATAAAATAAAACGATCTTTTAATAGGTTCATTTCATTTCATCTGTTCTGACCTGAAGTGTCTTTTTCACTTCTTGTATCAATAGAAAGTGTGTTCAACAAATCTTGGCAAAGTATATGCTTGGAGTTCTATCTTATAAAATGGAAATTATGCTGTCCTGTGTATATCGTTAATTCAATCTAAATAAAATTCTGCTGAGTAATGTTTCCAACTCTGTGTCTATCTTCCAGGTGAAGGACAAGGGAAGGTTTAAGCAAGAAGAAGCCGAAAACAGGCAAAGTGCTCTCCTATAGGAAGGATACATCAGCATTAAAAATCTCTCAATAAAATCTTACAACTTTCTCCACAGACTCTTTTAGTCCCGTGTTAGACTTACTCTAAGTACTAGGTGCTGTTAACAATTGTGTCGTTTTTTTGAAATGTTATATTCTGATTCAGCTGGTAAATGCAGATAGATCTGTACATGGACACTCTCTCCAGCAGCCTTGCTACATACGATTGAATGCCAGAGGTGTACGTCAGCATCCATTATGAGTTTCAACACATGCAATTCTATCATGTTTGAATACTAACAGTTTGTTACTGCTGTTTGAATCATTATCTCCCCTCTTTGTTTTCTCACTTTACAATATTGGACAGACCCACCCAGCACAGTGCTGGAAAGAACTGATAAGAGACATCCTTCCCTATTCCTGATGGGAGTTAGACAGTTTTGAACATTTGACTATATTTACTGTGACTTTAAGGAAGTTCCATTCTCCGTTTAGTGTACTACACTATTTATGTGGAATATATGTTGACTTTCATCAAACACGTGTAGTACGTTGATTCAGATGATCGTAGGATTTTTCTCCCATTAATGTGTTAATGCAATGAATTTCATACATACTTTCCTATGTTTAAATCAACCATACACTTCTGGCAGGGAATGTTCATGATACATTATCTTTGTGCACAATCGACATCATATTAGTTGGGTTAGAATTTTTTTTACTATCTTCATGAGTGATATTGGTGTCTAAATTTAGTTCATATACTCTCTTGGATTTTAGTATCAAGGATATACTGGCTTCATAGAATGAATTGGTATGTAAAACCTCTTTTTCTATTCTCTGGAACTGAAGACTCTGAAAGGCTGTGAGTGACATAGGACTAGTCTTTCCCATGTTCAGCTGTGTCTGGATTGCACCTATTTCATGGGAACTGGACCCTGTAGAAATGGCAGGGAACCTCCAGGTCCCCATCATTTCACATTTGGAGAGGTGCCCAGCTTCCCTGCAAGTAGCCCTTACTGATGCCATCACTCTGACAGCTACCTACTGCAGTTTCTATGGTGTCATTCATCTTCTGTGTCCTGAAAATTAAAAGTCATCGCTCTGTCAACTAGATACTTTGATCTCTGCTCTTTAATTGTGAATAGCTGGCCGTTCACTAGTTGTGTGCACGTAGGAAACTACATCCATTTATTGAGTTTTTAGAGAATAAGTTACTATAAAAACTCCACTATTGATAGCGTGTGTACTATATGTTAGCAACTGCTTTCTCCAGGGTTCCTTACATTTATAACTTCATTTAGTCTTCACACAAAGGGGTGTCAGAGTGTACCCAAACGTACATTTGACTCTGATAAGCAGTAGATTTCGGGATTCACTTCTAAGTTAGAGCCCTTACTCTTCCTCAAAGTAAATACATCTGAAAATGTGGGCCAGGAAACTTGATGGTGTCCATGATGCCCTGGGACAGGCTCTGTACTGACAGCTCAGAGCCTGGAGCCTGCTTCTGCTTCTGTGTCTCCCTCTCTCTCTGCCCCTCCAGTGCTCATGCTCTTTCTCTGTCTTTCAAAAATAAATAAACATTTGAAAACATTTGGATAAATGTTTTAAAAAACTTCTTTTAAATAAAAATTAAACATAAAAATAAATAACTCTAAAGCTATTTGGAACAATTTATACAAACAAAGACAAAGAATAACGTATCAGTCCCATGGTAAAAAAATAAAAATAAAAAAGCCCTCAGCTCTTCTGCAAAACTTTTTTCTTCAAACGTTATTGAAAGACATGGATATTAGCTACTCTTACAGGTGTGAGGTGAATTCTCATTATAGTTTTCTATTACCCAAATGACAAGTGATGTTGAGCATCTTTTCATTTGTCTTTTGTCAGTTTTGAGATCTTCTTTACAAAGATGTCCATTCATGTCTTCTGCTCATGTCTCAAATTGGTTATTTCGGTGCGGGGGTTTGGGTGTTGAGTTTTATAAATTTTTTCTCTATTTTGGATACAGACTCGTTATCAGATATGCCATTTACACATATCTTATCCCATTCTGTAAGTTAGCTTTTCATTTTGTTCACGGTTTCCTTCCCTGTGCAGTAGTTTTTATTTTGATAAAGTCCCAGTAGTTTACTTTTGCTTTTGTTTCCCTTGCCTCAGGAGACAGATCTAGAAAGACTATGGGACATGTCAAACAGGTTACTGCCTGTGTTCTCCTCTAGGATTTTGATGGTTTCAAGTCTCACGTTTAGGCCTTGGATCCATTTTGAATTTAGTTTTATTTTAAAATTCATTTAAAACAAGCTAGATAATATAAAGTATAGTCTTGGCTTCAGGAGTAGAACCCAGTGATTCATCTCTCCCATTGATGCCCAGTGCTCACCGTGAGAAGTGTCCTCCTTCATGCCCATCAGCCATTTAACCCATCCTTGCACCCTCCCACCCAGCCACCCCCTCCAGCAACCCTGATTGTTCTCTGTATTTCTGAGACTCTTTCGGTTTGCCTCCCTCTCTGTTTTTATCTTATTTTTGTGTATGGTATAAGAAAGTAGTCCCGTTTCATTCTTCTGCATGTTGTTGTCCAGCTTTCCTGGCACCATTTATTGAAGA